TACCCAAAAGCCAGAGACTCAGGCAGATGTCAACATATGAAGGGAAAACAGTATACTGGACTCTCCATATGTTCATCATGATATTCTGTGTTACAGAGTAAGCCCATTTCTTTAAAATGGAATGGATATTTCAGCATAGTGTATGTTCTGATTTTAGTCATCTAACTCTTTGTGGGGTGTATTGTGGAAGAACTTCAAAAACTCATGTCTGTTTTGAATGACTGTTTAGGACTTTGCAATAGATTAAGAAGCAAAATTTGTATCCTATCTATAGTTCCTTTTTAGTAGTCAGTTATTAGCAGACTCTACTCATCCTATTATCTCATAGTTATTACACAAAGTTTGTTGAATGTAATAAATTGACCAACCTATAGCAAAATTTTTTCCACTGTGCTGTAACATATCTACTGATGCCCCTGTCAACATATTTGATAAATTCATTGATTTACGAACTCCTATTTTCCCTGTGACTATGACTGTGACTGTGACATGCCATTCAGGGAAACTTGAATTTGTGTTCTTAGGGAGTGAATACTTGAATTTGGCGTAGAATACTCTCATTTATTTTGGAGCAGGAATTGTAGTTTTGAATTGACAAAATAGTTGAGATGTAAAACATGTTCTATCAAATATATTTATACATGATAAGCTGTAGGGGTGTTTAAATATGATCAAGTATAATAAAGAATAAAAATAGAGGCAAAGTAAGGAAGGGGAAGGGGGAAAGAGCATGATGGAGGTATATCTGTCCAGATGCAGAAAATGCCCAGGTCACCATGGGTAAGATACATGCTTACAGCTAAGCACAATGGATGCTTTAGGTAAGAGCTGAATAGCATGGCAGGAAATAACAGGCATCCCTCCTCTCCTCAAGCTCAACTTTCCTGCTACACACAGTTAGGCATGGAACAGAAAGACTGCAGCCTCTTACGTTACAACTGTTAGGATAAATGTGACATTCCCAGTAAAGCCAACACTGGTCACATGATAACATTACTTTCAAATGGAGATTTGAGAGTTCATCATGTTTTACTAATTGTACACAAAATTGCAAAAAACAAATCACTTTTATTAGCTTTTTACATTGCAACCTTGAAAAAATTGGCTGGGATTGTGCCCCCACTTATCTTCTCTACTCTCTTTCTCTCTCCAGAGAAGTGCGTACTCAGGATTTAAAGAGCACTTGAGAGGTTCCTGGAAACAAAATGAATGGCACATGGCAAGACGACTGCATAAAGACTTCTGACTGATTTCATTTGCCACTTTTCTTTTTTATCAAAAAACACTTTGAGAAAGTCAAACCAGAGAGGAGCAATGCATTAATGGGCTTTACACTGTACCTGAGGATACATAAGAGCTAGTTTTTTTGTTTTTGTTTTTCTTACCCAAACTAAGCAGATTCTGGCCTTTTAGTAGTAACTGGTTTATTGACTGCTAATGCTCTAAAAACTAAAGACCATGGTCTTTATTGCAAGGAAGATATATGGCCCTTGTGAATTCTAGTGATTTGGCAATCTTAACCTCTGCAGACATAACATTGATGTATTCTTTGTTGCCAAACAGCATGGTAAGTGCTTAAAATGCTATGAAGAAACTTATTGCCTTGAAATGATACAATCTAATATTAGACTGCAACTCAATGACTGTATTCCTGAGCATACACTTTCACAGAATACTAAAGTCAAAGCAACTTTATTTTAATAACTCACAGGGAAGAAATCATTTATCATTTCACCACTGAAACTCTGAAAACATAAAACTGAACCTGGTTTACAGGGAAAACAGAAATTGCAACATTCAGGAAATTTTCATTAGCAGTACAGATAAAGATGCCTTTTGTAGTGGTATCAAAACTTCAGTCTGATTCATTCTTATCAGCAGAGATATTTTGGCTCCCTGGACAGAAGATGGATAGAATCCACAATTCCAGAAACATACCGGTTACACAAAGTCAAGCGTGTCACTCTTTTCAGATACATAGCTTTTCCCTGTTTCTCAGCACCTGTCCAACATGCTCCTCTTAATTAATCACAATTAATATTAAAGCCCCATCCACTCTATACTTTATATGCATCAGTCAAATTTCAGACATTCAGTAGTCACTAGTTCCAGGTAACTTAAATCTTGGTATTCATGATCAGGATATTTCCCCACTTATCTCTCAAGCACAGTATTTCTCAAACTGTGGGTGGTGACCCTTTTGGAAGGGTTGAATGACCCTTTCACCTAGTTGCATATCAGATAGCATGTATGTCAGATACTTACATTATGACTCATAACAGCAGCAGCAGAGTTATAGTTGTGAAGTAGCAATGAAATAATATTATAGTTGGGGGTCACTATATCACAAGGAACTGTATTAAAGTGTTGCAGCAATAAGAAAGTTGAGAAACATTACTTTATGATGTCCTTACTAAATCAAGCAGGCTTTCCATTAAGCATAATGAACAAACATCTCAGTTTTGCTTGGCAACTGAAAAGTTTTCCAGAATATAGGACTTCACAATGCCAAACTTAGGTCCATCTAGGACAAATGAGAATGGCTGACTATGGTGCTGATAAAAAGGATACTATCCAGAAGAATACATTTACTGAGGGAAAATCTGATATAACTGATATGGATGATCCTACTTTAGTTTGCTATAACAAAATACTAGAAATTGAGTAGTCCATCTATGGTAGGAGTTTGTTTCTCACAGTTCTAAAAGTTGGTCTTCTGAGATTAGGGTGAACAGAATTTAGTTTCCTTATGGCCCATTCCAGGTGAAACTCTGTTGACTATTTCCAAGCATGTTTCAGCTCACTGTATGCCCACTTTGGGGCACTAATGCCCCTAAAGGTAATCCCACCTCATAATGCTAGCAACTTCAGAGTCAGACTTACAGCATGGTCATTTTGAGAAGGTAAAACCATTGATGTAGTAAAAGAAGTCAATGAATATGGCTGGAAGCTAAACTGAGTTCGTACTTTTAACATATCTGTGTGAAATCCAGGTCTTCACAGCTTCACATTGTATCTTTCAGTAACTGAGAGAGTGTGAGTATGTGTGTGTGTGTGTGTGTGTGTGAGAGAGAGAGAGAGAGAGAGAGAGAGAGAGAGAGAGAGAGAAGAGAAAGAGTGTGGGAGAGATGAGAGAGAGGAGAGAAGGAAGGACAGAGAGGAGAGAGAGAAAGGAGAAGACTTTGGTGGTTTCAGAGTTATGCTTAACTCTCTTCTTAGTGTTATTTGAAAATATGAGAGTCCTTATGTTGACTAATCTTCCAGGATATATCTAGACTAGATGACATCTAGGACAGAATCAAATGCATATATAATGTTCTTTTGGCTACTATGTTTGCTTTATTTTTTAGTGAAAATGAAAGATTAACATTGGAAATAGCTTACAAATATGCTTAATCATTAGATAAACTTTTATTTTATGTTTTGTTTGTTCTATTTGATGTTAATATCAAATAGAATATTGTACATATATATGTACAATGTATGTATATATATAATATATATATGTATATACATATATATGTAAATTTATATTTTACATATACACACAGACACCAGCATGTGTAATACATCATAGTCAAAATATAACTTAAGTCATTACAGAAACCAGTAAAAGCAAAGATTTGGTGCCTTTCCCCACAGATCTAGCACTACCTGGGTAACAGAAAATGTTCATGGATATTCTCCAACTGATGCTCCAAAAGATGGAGTAGGTATGGCAATGTCTTGACTATCAAAATACTCCACTCATCCTCTTTATATAATCTCTGCATATTTTGATGTTCACAGATGAAAAGGAAAGTGTCTATCTCATCATAGAACATTGAGGTTACATGTCAATAAGGGAGATGCATTTGAAAGCACTAATGGAACATTTTTATTTCTTACTAGAGGTCTAGTTATGGATTTGGACTCTGTGATTAAAGTAAAATATATTGTTGTCAGGGCTTAAGGCATCAATTTTACAAAAGTTTAACAACATTGAATCTGTAAAATAGAATTGATTAGGGTACAATTTTTCTAATATTTTATTAATAAACTGTCCTCTTATTCATTTAAAGCAGTGACTCTGCATGAGTCAGCTTTGTTCTGAAAGCAAATCACCCAGAGCTGCACATGCTACTGAGATGCACCTGTTGTTTTCTTTTATGTTAATTGAAAAGGAAAGTTAGTAAAAGACATTGAGATATGAGTCATTTAACCCTCTTTTGTCTCATTTACAAATGTACACCATTGGTGGCAAAACTGAAATATGGCCATTATGGATAAGTGTCTCAGAAAACTAACAATAGATGCCACATAAGATACTTTAAGCATATTACTGGGTTGGTCCATGTAGCTCCTAGAGATGAAGTTAATGAGACAAGGGGATGTCTTCTTGCATTAATAGACATAATGTCAAAGGTTAGAATCAACCTATGTGGCTAACAGCAGATGAAGAGGTAAAGAAACTGTGGGACATGTACAATGAAACATCATTAATCAATAACAAGAAGGAAATTTGTTAGCAATGTTGCCAAACCTCAAAATTATTATGCTAAGTAAGTCAAAAGAAAAAAGGACAAATAATGCATGCTTTTAGATTCCTTACATGTAGAATGTAAATTATCACATTCACAGAAAAAAGAATGATAATTAACTCAGTCTTGCTGGGTTAGATGGGTGAGAAATGGGTGCTATCTGACAGTGGGACAAAGTATTAATTAGAAGAAATATACATTCTAGATTGATTACTCAGTGTGGTGGCCATAATTATGATTGTAATGTGTATTTCACCATTGCTAAAAGAGTAATTTCACATGTTCCCAACACATAAAAACGATGTAAAGTTAACCTGACATAATCATGAACTACCATATGACAACTTATAAGATATAACTATTTTAATTAAAACAAAAGTCTCAAAAATGTACATTGCTTTTAGAAGGAGTATTTGTTTTTCCTAAAAAGAATAGAAAATAAAGGAAAGTAGGAGAAAGTAAAAGAAAATATCTACGTACCTGCTACTGCAACTTTTGCTATCCGGCTAATAATGGAGCCAGAATCTCCCAACGATGCCTCACATTGGTAAAGTCCTTCATCTGGTTTATGGTGTCTGGAATGAAGTATGTTTTGTATCAACAGAGACCCATTAGGGAGTTGCTGCTTCCGGTCATCCATGCCCAAGGCTAGGATGAGACCGTCTTTCTTCCACTTGATGACTGGAACTCCTCTGTCAGACTCAGCAGAGCAGTTGAGCAGGACATTTCCACCCCGCATCGTGACAGCATCAGAAGGTTCAGACACAAAACGAAGGGATGTGAAGGGTTTAATTTGAAAACCTGGAATAAGAGAACAGAAGAGAAATGAATTCATGCATTCTAAGAATTTTTAACTATCCCTTCCCCCGACATTCCTCACAAAAATTATTTCTCAAATGAACACTTTTTTTGTTTCATCTCCAAGTGCAATATAAATTTAAGATCAGGCTTAATGTCTTAAACAAAAGAAAATACCCATGTGAATGCCAATTATTGAAATGACTAGTCCAGAAATATATTGCTAATAAAAATAATAATCCGTGTTATGGATAAGAGTATTATTACATATCAGTCATTACTTGAAAACTTAGACAGATAAAAATGAGTATTTTTCATAGAAAACCAGATACTTTTAAGTCTCATTAGTCATTGTGACACCTAGGATTAGTGACACTGATTAATTTTATTATCTGCAGTTTAGCATTTCTTAGTATTTTTTAATCTATCTATTATATTTTACAAAATAAAGATCAGTATTGTAGGCAAAGTTATTTAGAATAGACCTCAGGTGGGTTAAACATAGATAATCTGAGAAATTCATAAGGTCACTTACTACCTACAACCTCTGAAGTGACTCTTTATGTTTCCAGAAGGTTCTAGTGGGCTTAGATAAGAGAATATTGTAGTTGAATTGTCATGAACATAAATGAACCTAAGCAATCAATAGAAGGATTAGAATAGTATTTAAGAATCCCGAGGGGAAGGATCAGGCATAATCAAAGAAGAGTGTGTATAGTTATTACTAGTAATCTGATTGATAAATCAAAGGCCTTGCCAAGTTCTCAGGAGGTCATCGGGCTTGCATGTTTTGCACAGACAGGTTTGTGTCTAGATCATTCAAATCAAGATACTTTTCAATGTTGAACAATCACTAAGGAATACAGTCCATTATCTCCCTAGAGTTTTCTTCTGAACACACTGCATCATTGTTAAAGTGTAGCTGAACTCTTTGGCCACTATGTAATTCCCACTTTCTCCTGAGCCACTTTGCATGAAAACTTACACATGATGAACAATTTCTTGAAAGTTTCCTTTATTCATTTGAAGCTGCATTTAATTTCATAAAACTATGTTTAAACCAAGCTTTCATTCTTCTCACAATGATAACCTCGGTTTCTTCAGAGTTCTTAACTTATCAGGAATGGTAATACTGTTGGTGGTTTTGTTAAAAACTTACCACTCTCTAAGATTTAAATGGCAGACATCTGAATTAATGTAGTCTGTAGTCTCATCATGGATTGACATATGTTGTCTCTTATGGTCAGAATTATTACTGATCTTCAGTGAAAATACAGGTATGTGCAGTGTTTCTAAAACTGGACTTTAAATCTGCCACATTCCCAGTGACCTGCCTCAATTCTGATCAGATACTAACTCCAAGCAACTAGTTCACTTACCCAAAGAAAACAGCTAGAGGTTAGTTCAAACTAATATTGATTATAAAATCACAGTAATGCGAAAATCCGGGCCCTGCCAAAGAACGAGGTCTCAGCTGGAGAGCGCCAGTTTCCAGTGAGATCCCACTACCCTGCAAAACCTTCTCAAGTTCCAGCCCAGCCCTCGTCCTCTTCTGCCGGCTATTGGCCAGAGGTGAGTCTGGGCCCAATTGGGGCTGTCTGTCCCCTTCAACCTCTTTACCCCCCTCCCCCGCCTGAACTCCCTGGATTGGCCCCTGATCCTGCTGCTCCTGTCTCCGGTCCCCTTTGAGAGCACCCTTGGAGCCTCTGATACACCCCCACCCATCCCAACCTCCAGCCTACCCCCCCCCCACCCTGTGCCCTACCCCACCTACGGTCCTGCCGCTCTGGTTGAGCACTGGGACAGAGGGTGGAGCCAACAGTCCACCCTACCTCGGAGACCTCTCGGAGCAACTCCGAACAAAGGAGACCTGACTATCCACGTGGGACCACCTGTAATTTCCCACCGGCTTGGTCCCCTGACCCCGTCTCCAGTCCTCTGCTGGAGTCCCAGGCCCCTCCCAGAGATCCGCCTATCTCTGCGGGTCCCTTGGAGTTCCTGCAGGCAAGATCCTTGACCCCCAAATCCGGGCCCTGCCAAAGAACGAGGTCTCAGCTGGAGCGCCAGTTTCCAGTGAGATCCCACTACCCTGCAAAACCTTCTCAAGTTCCAGTCCAGCCCTCGTCCTCTTCTCCGGCTATTGGCCAGAGAGAAGCCTCCTAGAGAGCTTGGACCACACAGAGATACAGACATTGAATCTTTGATCCACATAAGCCCATCTGGGAAGGACCATAGAGAGAGGGAAGAGACACCACCAACACCTACAGGAAGAAACTATGGGAAGAAGGCAATACAAGAGAACACCTAACAACAGAAAGACAAACATGACACCACCAGAATCTAGGGAATCTACACCAACTAGAATGGAACACAACAACAAAGCAGAGGAAGCAGAAGGGTATGACTTAAAAAATCACCATCATAAAAATGATAGAGGCCCTCAAAGAAGATATGAGAAAATCCCTTAAAGAAATAGAGGAAAAAACAAACAAAAAAGTGGAAGAAATGAACAAATTCCTTAAGGAAAGTACAGAAAGCCAAGAAAAAACAATTAACCAGGTGAAGGAAACGGTTCAAGATTTGAAAACCGAAATTGAGAAAATAAAGGCAACACAAATGGAAGGAAAGCTGGAAATTGAAAAGCTGGGCAAAAAATCGGAAACCACGGACACAAGCATAACCAATAGAATTCAAGAGATGGAAGAGAGAATCTCAGGCGCAGAAGATAAACTAGAAGAAATAGATTCATCGACCAAAGAAAACCATAAATCCAACAAATCCTTAACACACAATATCCAGGAAATGTGGGACACCATGAAAAGGCCAAACCTAAGAATAATAGGCATAGAGGAAGGTGAGGAGGCCCAGCTCAAAGGTGCTGAAAACATATTCAACAAAATCATCGAGGAAAACTTTCCAAATCTGAAGAAGGACATGCCCATGAAAGTACAAGAAGCATACCGAACCCCAAATAGGCTGGACCAAAGAAAAAAGACCCCTCGACATATAATAATCAAAACACCTAGCATACAGAATAAAGAAAAAATATTAAGAGCAGCGAAGGAAAAAGGACAGGTAACATATAAAGGCAGACCTATCAAAATTACACCTGACTTCTCCATGGAAACCCTCAAGGCCAGAAGGTCCCGGATAGATGTTCTAAAAGTATTAAGAGAACACGGATGCCAGCCTAGGCTACTATATCCAGCAAAACTCTCAGTCAATATAGATGGAGAGAACAAGATATTCAATGACAAAACCAGATTTTCCCAATATGTATCTACAAATCCCAGCCCTACAGAAAGTATTGGAAGGAAAATTCCAACCCAAGGAAGGTAACTACGCCCACAAAAATGTAGGCAACAGATAATCCAACTACACCAGAAACCTAGGGTGAAGCAGAACAAATATATTCACAATACCACTGCCAACAACAAACCTAAATCAAACAACCATCAACAATCAATGGTCTTACTCACCCTCAACATTAATGGTCTTAACTCACCTATAAAAAGACACAGATTAACAGAATGGATACGAAGACAGAATCCATCCTTCTGCTGCATACAAAGAAACACATCTTAGCTCCAAAGATAGACATTACCTCAGGGTAAAGGGTTGGGGAAAAGATTTTCCAATCAAATGGAAATAAGAAGCAAGCAGGCGTAGCTATCCTAATATCTAACAAGCTAGACTTCAAACCAAAACTAGTCAAAAGAGATGAAGATGGTCATTTCATATTCATCTCAGGAGAAATCCATCAACACAAAGTCTCAATTCTGAACATCTATGCCCCTAATACAAAGCCACCCACATTCGTAAAAGAAACACTACTAAAACTCAAAGCTCATATAAAACCTCACACACTTATAGTGGGAGACTTCAATACACCACTCTCAACACTAGACAGGACCACAAATCAGAAACTCAACAAAGAAACAAAAGAATTAACAGAAGTTATGTCTCAACTGGGGCTAACAGACATCTATAGAACATTCCATCCAAAGACAAAAGAATATACCTTCTTCTCTGCTCCACATGGAACCTTCTCTAAAATCGACCACATACTAGGAGACATAACAAACCTCAACAGATACAAAGAGAATAGAAATAGTCCCCTGTATCTTATCGGACCACCATGCTTTAAAATTGGAATTCAACAACAATACAAATAGCAGAAAACCTGCAAACTCATGGAAACTGAACAATGTGCAATTGCACCACTCCTGGGTCAAAGAAGAAATAAAGAAAGAAATTAAAGACTTTCTAATATTCAACGAGAATGAGGATACAACATACCCGAACTTATGGGACACCTTGAAAGCAGTGCTACGAGGAAGTTCATTGCACTAAGTGCCCATATGAAGAAAACAGAGGATAGTCACATAAATGAATTAACAGCGCAACTGAAAACCTTAGAACAGAGAGAAGCGAATTCACCCGCAGGGAGCAGGCATGGAAATAATCAACTTGAGGGCTGAAATCAACAAAATAGAAACCAGGAAAACAATACAAAAAATCAATGCAACAAAGAGTTGGTTTTTTGAGAAAATCAACAAGATTGATAAACCTTTATCCAAATTAACGAAAAAGCAGAGACAGAACATGCAAATTAACAAAATCAGAAATGAAATGGGGAACATAACAACAGACACAGAGGAAATCCAGACAATTTTCAGGTCATACTTCGAAAATCTGTATTCCACAAACATTGAAAATTCAAAGGAAATGGACAAGTTTCTGGATAACTATCACTTACCAAAATTAAATCAAGAACAGACAAACAACTTAAATAGACCTATAACCCGAAATGAAATAGAAGCAGTCATCGAAAGCCTTCCAACGAAAAAAAGTCCAGGGCCAGATGGATTCAGTGCAGAATTCCTACCAGACATTCAAGGAAGAACTAATACCACTACTCCTCAAACTGTTCCACAAGATAGAAACAGAAGGTTTATTGCCAATCTCTTTTTATGAGGCCACAATAACTTTGGTACC